GGTGGTAATATATGAAAAATTCATATCATACAGGAAACTACAATCAGTGTACCGCCCAGCACTAACACAACATCACTTTTACAATGTTGCTATGGCTTACTATTTTAGCGTTTAACTGGGTTTCTACTTGAAGTGTCAGATCCATTGAGCCGTGAAGGAATTGTTCTCAATCTTGACTTTACACAAATAAATGAAGTTAACATGTGGATGTCAGTGGCCTGATTTAGAAAGGCACTGGCCAGTTACACAGAAAAGCAACAGACCCATCGAGTAAATCCAACGCTCACTCTGAATTCACTCCCTCACAATGCCTCTCTGTCTCCGTTATAAAAATGACTGGAACTTTGGGACATTGCATCTTGCCTACACAATAAAAACCCACAACACAACAGCAGATCAGAAAACAGTTCGGTCGGACAGAAACGGGCCACAGCTCTCGCAGGCTACACTGACTTCCTGTGCCCATATAAAGACTCTAAATAACTCTTGTACACCACCAGAAGACGAGGTGGAAACACTCCCGGAGAACTCCCAATCTGATTGGACGGACGCCGGCGGGGCTCGGGTTTCTCTCTCAGAGGGTTGGCTTTGTTTTGTGGAAGTGAGGCCGTGTGGAGCATGTAAACAATGATCCTTTTCCATCGTGAGGCGGGCTGCTTGCTTGGACATTCTCCGTCCCAGAAAGACTGGGGGAGCGTAAAACACAAATAAGCACATGCCTCTGCCTCTAGCCAACCCCCATGGCCAAATATAGTGTACAGACTGTCCCATGGAAAAACACATTTAAGGTTACTCCCACCGTCACCCTTTTTGATACTTTTCAAATGCAACAATGACTCCCTGGTTTACTCAACACAACTGGAAGAGTCAAACCCAGTCTTACTCCCTGCATCCAAAGGACAAAAAGGGAAGTACAGCAGTAGTAAAAGTTTCATCAAACACACTGCGCTGGCCTCAGTGCTTACCTCACACACTGTCAAAGGACTGGAAGTAGCACTGGGTGGTAAAAAGGTGCATCTTTAAGCAAGAGCCAATCAGGAATGATAAGCAAGCAACGTGGGCAAAGGGAGGAGGCTGCAAGTTCAATAAAACATTGATGCTCACGAGCAACCTACTGCTTCTCCCGAGGAACCAAACACGTATTATGAGAGGAGATTAAACGGTGGGATTAATATAACCCAACAAACGACAGCCTTTCCATACACATACATAAAGTAGGGCCATAAATGTGCACTTGTGTTGCCTGTAATCCCACAGAGCGTGCTGGCATTGTGAATCACCAGAGCACAGTTAGACAGAGAGCCCTCAGTAGTGGTGAGTGTGATCCAGACTCTGAGGTTCAGGTTCTGGTATTAGCAGAGCTAATCACTAAAGAATGTCCTTATGCAAACACCGAGCTTCCACATAACTATAAATGAGGATCGGCCACAGACTTGAGCTCCACACTCTGCTTGTCTACACATGTCCAACAGAAAGGGGTGGAGGAGGGGGGAAATCTCTGCACCTAAAAGGTCTTTAAAACAAAGCCCCCCCCACCCAAACACTTCTCCCCAGCTATAATATCTAAAACAACACTTGTTTTCTCAGAGAACAGCAGCTGGGACCAACCTAAAGGCAGTCAATCACAATGGCTTTAATAAGTATTAATAAATAACAGAGCTTATCTAAGAAGTATCAAAACATCCATAAAAGGCTTTAAAATCACTCGCGCAGCATGACACTAAAGTAAAAATAATAAAAGTCTGAATTCACTTCTGCGCTGTCACATTGAGCATTCAGTCATATTTTGTCAAAACTATGGGTGTTTGGATGCACATTTTATCATTGTTCCAGTATGAAAACTTGAATACAGGCTAACCTGGCTCGCTCTCTGCAGAAAACCTGAGCGAGCTCCCGTCTGCGGCTCTATGTGCAACAATTATGAATTACATACAATACATTTATTTATTTATATGAGCATGGGCTGCACCGTGCCTGTATGTTGTCGTTGTACAGCATGTGTGTTGTTTTCTACTTGCTTCCTCGTTCTTATCGTCTTATCGTCCTCTAATACATTGCTTATCTGATAACTGGTGTGTCACTGACCAGTGAGCCAATCATAAACCGGGAGCCGTGCTCAATCAGCACAGCTGCAGAGTGCAAAGTTTCACATTGTGAGAGGCATGTGTTGGGTCCACGCAGCGGCTGCGGGTGCACGTGTGTGTTTGTGGAGTCGACATCAGAAGCATGCTGTGGGCTTAAAGGAGCAGTGTGGCGTTTAGTGTCACACAGGGGTGAAGCTGCAGCGTCTACAGTTCCTGGTACTTTCAGGTCACTATACACTAATGAAAACATGATGATTAATGTTATAGTATTTCTGACAACAGATCATCCTAAATGTTGGCTGGCTCACGGGTTTAGTGGCCACCACAGTTTCTCCTACGTGTGTGGAAGGCGCTGCTGTATTCAATCTGCAGCTTCGTTGCCTGATGCCACTAAATCCTTCAGACTGGTCCTTTAAGAGCAGCTTGTCACACTGATACTCCAGGTTAGATTTGCTTTATCCCACAATATCCCTCCCCCTAATGTCAATGACTGTATTCTTTACTTTGTGTCACTTGACTTCTTCTTGTACATTTCTTTTTTACTCAGACGTTAGGTCGTGGTGAACGTGCTGACTTTTGCTGTATTCAAAATCTGTTCAATAACTTTGGCCAACACATCAACTGTGATTTCCTCTGAAATACTGCCAGCCTACTGTCTGCAGGAGGAGAGCCAATGAAGTGGCCCACATCTAGTTAAAGTGTCACTCCTGTTACTGAGGTTACACCCTGTTACCTCCTCAGTCCTCTCTTGGCTTCCTCCAGTGAGACACTTTATTGTTGATAGTCTACTCAGATATGCACCTTACCTAGCAGTACTTTGACTATTTAGTTAACTACTTCATGAACACCATCATGTTAGAAAGCAGGACTGAAATGGTCCAGTGTTGCTCAGCAGTATCAGTACAATGTCTTTAACTCCAAAATGTGAGTATTTGTTTAAAACCCATTAGTAAAACCTCCTGGGTGTTGCTTCGACATGTTACCTAAACACAAAAGTGCTCGAAAAGTTAAAATCCAGTGTGTCGTCCTTTAAAGACTAAATGAATTCATCACCCAACTTGCTGCTCTTCAAACTTTAGCCTAGAAAAGGGCGAGTCCATGAGTTGGTAGACTCCCTTTGACAGATCACTCAGGTGGTGTAACATATACCAACCATACAAAGACCCAGTGGGTGGGGTGACACCGACAACCTCATTTCAGTGTTTAAAGGCGGTGAACTTTATCAAACTCTCTCTCTTACCCTACAATTCCTTCTGAGTAGTTCCTGACTTTCCATGGCGTGCCCGTGTATCCCCCATAGCCCCCCGTGTTGGGGGCGCTGCCACTGTTCAAGAGGCTGGAATTGAATCCGAAAGTGCTAGCCTTGTTGTCTCTTTTCCTTTTGTTGGGGTGTCCGTCCGTCAGCCCCCTCCAAACCACAGCGACCCCGCTGCCCTGCTGCTGCTGCTGCCCCCCTCCACCGACACCGCCCCTGCCGGGGGCTCGGTTGTTGTGGTTGCTATTGGTTTCCAGTGGTATAAAGTCCCTCTGCTCCGGTATTTCTCCGTTCCCCATTGAGGTCGACATCCCCCGAGTCCTCGCTTCGCCGCTCCCGGTGTTTGAGTCGAGTGCCCCGTTCCTGCCGGTGAGGACGGCTCCGGACGCTCCGTTGACGGTCGCTTTCAGGCTCGTCGCGCTCTGAGATCCAGCGGTGTAGCTGTTATTTACATGCAAGTAGCCGATCCCTTGTGTCGTCTCCCAAATCTGCATCCACAGGTTGTTAGCGGGTCCGCGTTGTTCTGGTTGAAACCAGGCGATTCTCGGATCCATCAAACGACACTGTAGGCACACCGCCCCCCCCACCCCTCCACCGAGCAGTGCTCAGCTCGTGTGCAGCTAGCCAGGTCGCTAGCTAACGTTAGCTAGCCTGCTATAGCCTCGTTATAGCCGCCGCTAGCTGTCCGTTACTTCTACAATGTGGTAAAAAAACACGTTGCTTAGTAGCGGCGACGGTTGTCAACCAAAGTCATCCACGGGAAACACGACGAGAGCGTGAGTCAAGTGTTTGAAATGGTAGCTGGAGCCAGAGTTGAGGTTGAAGACAGGGAAACGTGCAGCTGCTGCCTGTCGAAGAGCCTCTCTGACCCTTTCCTCCTGATCGGGCTCTCTCAATGGCGGAGTGTACTCTGCTACTGCGCATGTGCGGAGCGAGTGAAAGGGGCGGGGACATAGTTGTTACGCAATAGACAACTGTTTTTGGTTACATAACACAGTCTGATTTATTTCTCTCTTATCTAAGTGAAATCAACATGGTGTCATGACTACAACAACGTAAACCCGACTTATGTTTTGCCCAGTGCGGCAGATTTTTATTTGTACTCATAATATACACATATCCTAGGATTTTACCCCTCTGCTCAGTGGGAATATGAAACTAAACTCGTGTGATTAAAATGCACAGCAATGTGCTGTAGGTACCCAAGGTAGTATTTTCATTATCAAATCCAATCTGAATTATTTTAGGGGGTATTCAGTTTGTCATTTAGACAACAAATGTCAAAATCTCTAACAATTTACCAAGGGGACATCTTTATATTGCTTATTCTGTCCGACCAACAGCCTAAAACCTAAAGATATTATTTATACATTATTTTTCAGTCAAATTTCTCATTGATGAAACAGCTAACTGCTTCAGGACTAATTCCAAATATACACACTTAGAAGCACTTGTATCGTGTGCCAACAGACTGTATGGTGGGGATGAACAGCTGCAGAGTGTTTTGTGTTTTATATAACTCAATAAAATGTACTTTTAAGGAATTTCATATATGTAGCAGTAGCCAAAAACCAAACATTGGTTCATAAAATAAATATATAATAATCATTGGACATACAAACACTTTTCATACAATACAAAATAAAACATATACTTGAGAAAATGCTTAAGAAATGAGGATTTATTTCAAAAAAGATAGTCATTCATAGCCTGATGACATATACTCCCTCAAATGTATCTTTGAAATTGTCTTTTAAGTGATGATATGCAGCTTTATTTACATTTCCCTGAAAGGTTGTGGGGAACCCAGAGAAGCTGTCTGACTGTTCATTTTGACATTTAGATAAATGCCATTTGTGGGTGCAAGTCACCGTTCAATCTTCACCTTTTACTGCATTAATGAAAGCTAATGTGTTGACTTTGTCAGTTACTCAAACCATGATAAACTACTGATCCAGTGCAAAGGATGGCACTATCCTGGATTTACTTATTTGCAATGACTTGCAGAAAGAAAAGTTCACAAATGTAACACTGCAAAAGTTACCATTGCATGCATGAGTGGCAACCTTGCAGAGTGTGCAATCAATGCTAAGAGATGTGAGGTGGATGGAGCACAGAAAGGCAGAGGTAGAGAATATGTGCGTGTCTAAAGGCTAAAATGTCTTTTATAATAGATTTTAATGTTGTAACAACCTTGGCAGTGAGTGTACCAAACCCATTCAGCTTAGTAAGTTACTGAAATGAAAATTTTGTTTAGTTTCTCTTTAGGCAAGACAATTTCTGTCTTAACAAAATTATGATTCTATCATGCAATACCCAGAACATAAAATCTTAGTGTCGACAGTCGAATCCTTCCTATAAAGGGCCTGCAATCTCTAATAGCTCTGCTTCCTATTCCTTGCAGCAGAGTGGTAAACATCAAATTTGTGCTCACTGAAACATGGGACAAAATGAAGGGTACACATGTGACCTAGCGTCAGCTCTCCACACCTGATCTCTTAAAAATGTTACCGGGGGACATGAATATATAAATTCAAGTTCTGACAACCATTATGGGTTGAATGACACATATCCACTGAGGGAGCAAAAATAAAAACCTCTTTACTGCGGCTCGCAGTGACTAGTATTTAAATTGAATCTTTCTTCACAACAAATAAAACTTTCACATCGCTAAGTAAAATAGTAAATCATTATTTTGAGAATATTAACAATGAAACCAAGAAAAAAAACAAAGGGATAATTACTACCAACATAATAAATACTTCATGGTTTCACACCTATATTGTTTTATGCTCCTGCTAGCATATCTGTCCAAACCGTACAGGTTCAACAGGTTTGCAATGTAAAGTAGTGAACATCCTCATTTTTTGCCCATCTTCTCCAGATAACCAATGAATCTTCTCAGGTTGACTTTGATGTTGTCTAGCACACACAGCTGCTGAGGGCTGTACTTTCCTCTACCTTCTTTACGAATCTAGTCGGAAAAGAAAATACATTCATTAAAATGTTACACATAAGAAAGAATGTTTGTCTTGTATGCTTCTCAAAACAAAAAAGGGACACGTGCAGCGAACTATTTTTGCTTATCAAAATCCGTTAAGCCATTGCAAGCAATGCCATTTACAGGAGGTAGAATGTTCACTAGTGGGAGGGACGGGTCCTGAAAAAGCATTTGGAAATTGTTAAAAATAAACAGGAGCAGCGTGCAGTTAAAAGAACTCAGTCTGTGGTACCTTGGCCTTAAAGACCGGTTGAAGTGCCTTCAGTGCAGGTAGTAACTGGATGTTTTTAGCAGCCACCTCTGCCTCGTCTCCATCCGCAAAAACATCAAACAGGCCGTCGAGGGCTTCTCCGTTTACAACCAGGTCGGCATCCCTCGTGGCAACTTGAAGTAAGGCGTTTCCAATCATCTGTGGGAACAGAGTTTATTAGAGGAGGAAGAAATATTTCAAGAGAGGGTGGGGGGGAAGAGAGAAAAATGGTACCTGAAGGGTTTCAGCAGTGCCCTTCTCTTTGGCTAATGTGCTGCCAGTGATGCCCAGAATGGCGACGGCGTTGACCCTCACACTGACAACTTCACAGCGGGTGGCGGCTTCGCTCAGGCTCATCAACTGCTGGGGGGTCATACACTAACAAAAACAAAACCAACCACACAGATATTGAGCCGTCCAAAATAAACAGCATTCAGTGTGAACTGGCAGTGGATTTTTAAGTTTGACAGGAATACAAAGTCTAGCTTCTGTGTTGCCTTATTATTTATTCAGCACTGTTTTTATTCAGTAAACAAACAAGACCATGGGGTTAAATCGGCCCCTCCACTAATTTGACATAGTCTCCTTGACACAGAGAGTACAACTCAGCCTGTAAACATAATGTTGTATAATGACTTCTGTGGCTCTGGAGGAGCTATCCAAAGTCTAACCAAAATCCTGCATCACAAACTGTGGGTGTGGTGTTACCAGGCAGAATAAGTCTAAAGATGTTGCATGAATTGCATTGAGGGAAATGTAGGACCAACCCTTGACCCAACTTGACCCATACTAGGCACTAAAATCTGATGCGAAGAACTTGACCATTCTTTTCTTTTTCTAATTTTGTGAGATCCACAACTTTATGCTAGGGCAATATTAAACTGCCGGAGTAACCCTTAAACAATTACCCATAAATGAAAATGTTTAAAATGAGCAAAGGAAAGGCTGAAGCCGGGGAATATTCTGTACCTGGGGAATATTTTTAGAGGCAATCATCTGTAAAAGAGACCGCATGGCGCTGATGACAGCCTCTAGGAATTCCTCATCTTTGGGTATCTCTGCAAACATTAGAGAGTAAATTGTTAACAGTTTCAATGCGGCGTATCAATACTGCTGCATCTGATCATTCTAGGTATAAACATTTATTTGTCTACGGTGACATAATTGTGGGTTTTTTTCACATTTCACCACAATTTTGTTTCCAAAAATCTTGAATCAAAGTTGCTAGAGTTAGCATTTTGCCACGTGTATCCTTGTGTATTTGATTTAACAAAAGGAACAGTAAATGGGACCTATACACTGTATTACAATAGGACATAAAAGTGACACCTGCTGCACCAAAAACCAGCGTGGACAGATGCTGCGCTGCTCCCTGCAGGGCTGCTGTTCCTCCTAGAGACTCTGCATCCATGGTGGAGAGGATGCTATGGAGGCACGTCAGCGCCCGGGACTGCACACGCTGCATCCTAAAGGGAAGAAGGAGAGATGTTATTTGTCATAGAACAGTGACACCTTTTATTCAACACTAAATCATTTCAAAAAAAAAATCACTAAGAGGTGTGACATCGATACCTTGAACACATTGTGATCAGACAGTTAAGTTAAAGAAAGGATGAGAAGTCAGAGGATTACTTTTTAATCAGGCTTCTCCAGGAGGGATTCTGATGGCACACGTCCATGGCTTCCTTTCCAGGGAACTCAGTCTTTTTGAGGACCTTCAATAAAGAGAATAAATATATTAGTACAATCATTTATGTTTGCATGAGTGCATTTACATGAAAGAGATCTCTATTAACGTATTGAATTACTAAGTAATTTAATCGTTATGCTCCAGATAGAAGATGGGTGGGGTTCATAAGCATAAGCAGAACCATATTTTGAGCTTGAATTACAGCAAGCATACTAAAATTACAATTTAACTACATTCACATGCTTGTCTAAATGCTGCTGACACTGAGAGTGACTCTTGCTTTCATAAAACTATTGCCTGATGCGGGTGTGAGGAGTTATTGACGAAGGAGTTATTTGCCTTTTCAGGGACGCTGTGGCTGATTAATGCCCCGTGAACCTCAGCTGACAAACACAGTGGAGACATCAGATTGGACACTCCATCACAAAGACCATCTGGACCCATGTCGCTTTCATCACTGCTCGACTCCTCCTCCCACTCGTCGTCAGAGGGGTCTGAACAGGCACACGCAGACATAGAAATGATCAACAAATGCTACCGATGCACAAAGGCCTTTCTAGGCACTCAAACAAACTCATTTCATGTATTTCTGGTTATAATAGCCTTTCAGAAACGCAAACATATACTGGGTGGCGGTGTCACAGGAAATAATGTTGATGCAAAGTGCCCGGGGTCAGCACTGCTGTCCATGCCCACAACACTCACCGTCAGAGCAGCACATGTTGACGATGATCTCTAAGGACGTTTGCTGGGCTGTCAGCAAGGCCGTTGCCTCCCTCAGCTCCTCCTTGCCCCTCTGGACAAAAACAAGCAGCCATGTGAGTCAACATCCTACCAAAACGATGACTGTTAGCACTGTTATCACCCAGTCTGAGTTCAGCCGCCCGCCACAAAGAAGAGATTCATTTCTACGGATGTACTCAAACATGTCCAGTTGCACTTTCTGAACTGAGATGCTGTGTGAAATCTGCTTTAAGGGTGTCACGTTTGATGGGAGAACGAGGCTTAAGTAGAGTACAACTGTGTCTGTGTGTGTTTCGGTTTATTTCTCAGGGTTGTGACGGGGAAAAAAACCTCACCATGAACTTCACCAGCACATCTTGGGGCTCTGGCTGTGACTGAGATGAGAGGGACAGCTCTGTCTCGCCTGGGTCAGGTCTGGGTACGGTCAGAAGCGGGTCCCCAGTTGAACCTTGGTGAGTGTCCCTAATCTTCTACCCCTAACCCGACAGTTTGTCTGCTCTGTCAGTCTGCTTCGCACTCTAGGGTGACTCATATGCCACCTTTTCACCTGGCATTAACGTGTGCCTCGGAAATACAAAACTGGGCTGCTTCGTTGCCATAAACACAGACTCCCGTACACATCCCAGCCTATAACCTACAGCATTTCATTGTATTTCTAATTTTAACTACAAGAGCCCTGGAAATCTATTTTTGTTCATTATTTTATGCTAACTGCAGACTTACTACATTGAAATTGGATTTTTTTAAGTGTGCAAATTTTTTCTAAAAAACTAGAAATTCGTATTAAAATGTAGCACTTTTTTAGAAGTTCAAAGTAGCATTAAGTTACATGAAGGGCAGACTAATGGGATTCCTGTGTAGAAAAAGGACTACAATCACGTCTATCCAAGCCCTGAGTCAGCCAATGGCACGCATGGAAAGGTATCGTATCACAGCTTCAGGCACACCTCTTGATTAAACTACCCATAATGCTTTCTATAGATTATTTATGCTTCAATATATTGTAGCAGGCAAGAGGAAAGCTTATACAAGGTATTTCACTTGCAGTCATGTTGACAATGTCAACATACACGGAGAGGACGCTTCTAGGAAGTAGCAGGGTTTCGTTTCGTGGCTAATAAATAACGTGGTATCTGATCGGTGACACACGTACCCGATCCCGCATTACAGGCAGTATCAGAGGCATTTCCGATACTTGTATTGTATCTGAACAACTGATATATCTGTAATGAGTTAATATTGGCCTGGGCAATTGATCAGTCTTCCTAAGAATGGAAGCCTACTACTGACAGAAAAACAGGGTTTATAATCTCTCTGACAAGTGTATTTTCTGTGTTCAAAGGTCAGAGAGGCTCACAGCCTGCTGTATGCATAGAGAGGAACAGCAATGCACAGAACCAACTGTATGAGTGACACCACTTACAGGCAAGAGGTCAGAGAAGTCGTTATCAGCTCTCACAGCTTTTCCATTCCTCTTGTGTTTAGGTGCTTCCTCCTCCTCTTCCATGTCCTCCTCAGCAAGCTCTCCTGCAGCCTGCTCTTCTATGTCTGGTGCAGCTGGTGTGTTTCTGTGACGAACCTCTTCTGCTTGTCTGAGTTCAGGTATCAGCGTACCTGTGTCCAGATCCAGGCACTGTGACAAGTTGGCCACCACAGCGCTGAGGGTCTGGGCCTGACGGGCAGCTGGCAGACTGCCCTTCATGTTCCACAGTGTTCCTGAGTGACAGAGCGGGCACAGTTAGCGCTCAGGAAGGGATATTAAAAACATAACAGCCACAGCTGTGTTTGTTTCTTGAATTTATATGGCACTTCTGTCTACAGAGGACACTTTTAATGTGACTTACAACTTGTGTAACGGTAGGAAATTCCAGTTTTTAACAATCTAGTTAAAAAGACGTGACAAGTGACAAATTGTACCTGCAGCCAATGTCCTGAGGAGAGTTTGTGCCATGCCTGGCTGAGATGACAGCAGCACATTCTCCAGCACCCCAAGCACAGCAGTGTTCAAGCTACACAGCAGCTCTGGGTTATCCTCAGTCACAGTGTGCAAACAGTGGGCTGGCCGAAACACAAAGAGCAGAGACTTCAAAACTGTTCTCTTGGACTTGAGGAGTTGAATTAAGAGGTTGGGCATTACTACAGCCTTTGTGACTCACAACAGTATTAAGATTTCTGAGAGCCCTATTTGGAATGACACTGACTGCGTACAGTGACAGCTATTACAGGACATTTTTGAAGTCAATGACGTAAATCTGTAACGCCGTAAATCATTTCTGTAATCCGCCTCATACATTACAGAGCTGGGAGTGTCAGCTCTGTTTTCATGCTGTCATCACACCAAAAAGGTTTAACACGTAACACATAACTAACTATCTCTATGGTGATTAACATCTAAGTTAAATCTTTGTAAGATCATATACGCAGCATCAGGCTGTGTTCCAGCTCTGTCGCCGTTTGAGTGTACACAGGAAACGTTTCTGTTCCTGCTCTTCAGAAACAAAATAAATCGATCATGACAACTAGTTAACAGTATGTTAATTCAACCTACCGGCAGATATGGCCAGTTCCACGTTTTGTGCGTGTCTCTCCAGACACTGGACAACCAGGTCCAGGAGACCTGCTTTGTTGAACACAGACAGTGCCTGTGGGCTGCTCTCACTGGAAGCACCAAACAATACGAGAGACAGATGTAAGACAATTAACAAATGCACACAATAAGACCTCACGCATAATTTGTGTGGGGCAATAATTACGGATAATGGTAGGAAGAGTGTCAAGAAGTGGGCTTGTCACTGTAGAAAACTACCAGCCTTGTGAGAACGGCAACAGCAGCTGACTGCGTGTAACTGAGGGTAAAAACACACTGCTGTCAAGCAGCTTGCACAACCTCTTGGCTTACCATAGATTCCACAGTAGGTTTACGGCCTCATTGGCTACATCCTCCACTGCATTCTTCTGGTCTTTCATCGGCTCCGCGGCACTCTCAAAACCAGCACAGCACTGAAAGGAAAACAAAAACAAAACCACAAGTGAGACAGGTATGAACGTTGCCATCATGCATCCAAACATTAAAATGGTAACTCTATATCATGAAAATATGGCTTTCAGTCTGAAAACGTAGGCGATGAACTCTGAATGTGATGCCAGGAGTCAATCTGTTCCAGTGTGGGAGCAGACATTTTCACAAATGGTGAATATCTTTGCTCTGGAATGAAAGCTAATTGCTGAGGATATCGTGGCCGGCTCTAACAGCTGCTGATGAGGAGGAACTGAAGTGATGGTGTGAGCTAAAAGAAGTGGCGGAGTCTCACCTCTCTAAGCAGTGCTGTCAGAGGAGTCATGACGTCGTGCTTCACCATGTCCTCACACACCTCCTGACCCCCGCATGCACTCAGATTCCTGTCAGGCAGACACAGTCCCAGACACACACTCATCATTCGGTCGGAAGACATTCGCTGTTAGAGATGCTGCTTGTGTGTGTGTGTGTGTGTGTAGGCGAGCCTGGAGGTGTCCTGGCAGCAACTGTCTTATTTTGATATACAGTACATGGAGCCATGTTTAAGGGTTACTGGAGGACAGTAGTCTGGACATTGGGGGGGGGGGTTAAGGACAGACTCTGACAGAGAAAAACAAGTGTTGACTGAGAAGAGGATGATGGTGATGACAATATTACTGTGTAACTGTAGTCAAATGTGATCACCACGGATGAAATGTTGTCTGTTTTTGTAGGGACGGTCATTTTGGGGGTGAAACTAATATAACTTGATCAGATTGTCACATAAACAAACATTAAGTGAATAATAAACAAATACAATTTGTCATAAGAGAGTAATAACATGAGCCAAAAAAAAAATCACAAAAACAGCTTCTTCTTTATTCTTACAGCCACATGTCTTATTGTAGCATGGCGCCCCCTGTAGAAGTAACATGACATATACCTGTACTTCATGCACATACCCCATTGCATATAATCTTGATTGTAATGGCATTTTCCCACATGAAAAAGCTAAATTGATTGAAATAATGAGCTGTTCATCTTAACCAAAGATTACCCTTTTCCCTCTACTGAGTAATTGGGCTTTTATTTTGTAAGTTTACTTACACATTTGTTTGTTATTTTAGCTGCAAGAGGCTATTTCTGTTGTCTTATTTATATGTCACATTACGTTTTTGGTTGTTTGCTCAAAACTGGCACCTACAGTCGCATGTGCTTCTTGTACCAACATTAACACACACCGTGTGCAAGTAAACAGAAAATTATGGCTATGAGACATGCAGGTCGTTAAATAGTCGGGCATCACTGAATCCATATAGAAAACCTTCAAGCTGTCTGGATATTAAATCACAGTTTGGCCTGAATTGTAGCTGCACATGGTGTATAAACCCTAAAAGACAGTTTATATGTATATAATATATTATCCTGATTCTGGTATTCTTAATATGATTACTATAACAAGACCCATTTCCATATAATCTACCATCCTGCTTGTCAAACTAGTTATGTTTACAGTCAGTGTTTCTCACCAAAACATGTGTGCCTCCATTTCCTTCCTCAGAAAACACTAATATTTTTAATTGTGTATCATTGTCAATTGTCAATTAGTGGAATAGCATGAAACCTGAGAACTTATACTCATCCACAACACAAACAAAACAGCGACCTGGTCATAAAAACATTGCTCCATAGCATGTAGCATGGTGCATCACGCACACTGGGAGTGGAACACTTGAATATGTAACTGTACTGATGGTCAAAGGAAACAGCAGCTTGAGGTAGACAAAAATATGAATAATAGCATTACTTTCAAAGTTCCTGCAGTTATTGGACCACAAAATAACCTTTTCACAGAGGACTGGGTTAAAAGTCATACCAGAAAAAGCAGAATACTTATGGCTGAAGCTTAAAATGGAGCTGAGTCCTTTTTTTAAAGTTATTAGTTCCACCTGGATGTTTTCTGCTATCGTAAGTCAAAATGTCTATTCAAGTACTTCTTGGTTGCTTTCAAAGATCTGTTGAATGTGGTCACACCCAGACTCAACGTTTGCATGTTTCAGGGTAAGACAAGTTAAGTGGACACACCAACAGCAACACACTGTGCTTCACCTATAACAGGAAACTCAGTCCTCCCCCTGCTAAGACGCTTCACAGACCGACCTGATGAATGTCACCGGTCTGCCACCCTCGTGTGTCTGTAGAGACCCTGACAGGAGGTGTACGTAGTTGCCACAAACTCATTGTGGGCAGGGATGGTTTGGGAAACGGGGGTTAACCCTAACCCTAATCCCCGTTTCCCATTCAAGTGACCAGACCTGGTTGTGTTGTTGCAGTCCACATCACACCACTGCACTACTGACTGACTCACCTGAGGGCTCCAGTGGCAGTCTCCCTCACAGCCAGGCTGCTGTCCAGCAGCATGGGCCCGAGGCGCCTCACAGCATCCCTCTGGAGGAAACCTGGGATGGTCTGGCTCTGTTGCACCACCCGAGAAATGCTGGCACATGCAAACTCTCGCACATCTGCACTGGGACTCTGCAACTGGGGAAATATACACAAAGCATGACTCCAACTACTGTATATAATCTGTCCTGTGTCAGACTACCTGTAGAGTGCTGCTCGTACACAAACTGTTATTATATGACCACACACACACACACACACACACACACTAAAGTTCATCATAATAAAGTTCAAGTCATAACAAGTGCCTGAACAAGAGTCCAAAAGTTAATCCTCATCGGTGGACTAACTAAAACCGAGATCAATTGAGCTATACCTAATAACGGACACTCTCCGTGTTAATGCCTCATCGGAAAGCCTTTCCACTGTAAACAACAACATTACAGAAAGCTATCTTAGTGACAAAACAGATTTCCACTGCGTTCATACTTTCTCCAGCAACTCCGCAGCTGGACAGCTTTCATCCCCGTGGTCTTCCTCCAGTGCGTCCTCTTCCTTCACAGCGTTCACCGGCAGCCCCACCGTGCTGAACTGCGGCCGCTTGAATTTAGTAGTTTTACTTTTACCCATCTCAGTCCCGATTAAAGTGCCAGCTGCGCATGCAACGCGGTGTTTCTCTTGTGGCTTTGAAGCGATCAGACCTCAGACACACACTCCGCTTCCAGCACGGTCGGAGGCCATGTGGAAGCTCCCTGCCGTAATCCGGTCGTTGCTGCCGGAAAGCAGAGAAGCTGTCGCAAAACACTGCGGGAGGCAACAACACATGGGTAGGACGTATGGAGAGTTAAGACAACAAAACAACAAGCAAACACCTCATAAACCGCAGGAAGGGGCTTTATGTGTATTATAGCAGAAATAAGTAGGAGACATAGTTTTTCACCTGAAGTATTTATTAGGTAAATAACTTTAAAAATAGAAACATTCTGATAAAATACATGCTCAACATTAGAAACAGAAATAAACACATCTGAACTCACACTGAATGAGTAAAATATCTTAGCCTATGTGAGCAGATCAGCAGCTTCAATGGTGACATCAGCACAGCGACACTGTTAAAAGGCCCAGTCAGTTCATTTCTTCTTTCTTCCAAATGCATTCCCATCACGACAATGTCTGTCTTGGTGCTGTTCCCCCTCGGTGCTGTTGAGATCACCCAACTCCAGACACCGAGTGATCTGTGGCTATCGGCAAAGACCAGGTACCAGGATGTCTGAGCACCCCACTCAAGCTTGTGATTACTGGATGTTCGGCCGTGGCTTGAGAATAAGTTTCCCCGTCTGCAAAAAAGACAAGACGATAGTGTGAACAAATTTACAAAAGCAGAAGTTGTCGGAGCAGACGACAGGATACAACATCAGAGAGATTTGTTAACTCACATCGTCACAGGACATGTTGTATTCTGCTAAAACTGTCCGACAGCGTGCAGCAATACTGATGGGGAAAAGGTTAAAGATGTAAACCAGTAAGCCAAAAAACTGAACAGGAGAATCAAATACAAAAGTGCAATTTTTGTGTGATGTTGAAAATATACGTCTGACAAAACATGTTGACATGCTACTTCATCGTAACTGCATCAGACAAAGGATACATTGATGGTGCCACAACTCGTTTGTGTATCCCAGCAAAGAAGAGAGCTATGAGAGTGATGCAGCTGATGGTGAAGAAGGGATGATTCCACAGTGATGAAAAGAAAGAGACCTGCAGAACAAAGAGGAACAAAGCAACATCAATCATTAAGTTCAAATCTTTTACAGTTCATTTTTATAGTAAGTGAGTGTAGTGGAACATCTTTAAAAATGAATCGGGTCCCAAGAGAAATACCGTTCTCCAAAAATACAAGGCGAACTACAAATAACAGTAAGACGAGACTAAAATTTAACCCCTTTTAATCATATAGCTCAGTTTGTGAGTCTGTCTGTAAAAATCCCAATAGTCTTAATGCTGTAATCTCTGCATTAGTTTATTGCTGTTGGCTATATTCAAATCAAATCAAGTTTATTTGTATAGCCCTTT